ATAGCCGGGTACGCATTTCCATTTGGGTGAAGTGAGGAAAATTTGTGTAAAGTGCCTTTCCCAAGGACACAACGTCGGGCCCCTGACGGGATTCGAACCCACGACCTTACGGTTGCAAGTCCGAGAGCCTAACCACTAGGCCACCAACGCCACTAGATTTAGATCTAGAGTAAGTTTTACACCTCTTCGGCTGCACGTGAGCAGAAAATGATGACATCAGTCGGCAAAAGTGCCGACAGCCGAACCCGAAAACCGTATCCAGTGCAGTATATTATTTTGAGCCCTAACTTTTCCCTCTTCCGGCAATGATATCAGCGGTTTGCTAATTCTGCAGTGTCAAACTTGTCAATGTTTCGCATATTTCTTGTAGACACACACGGTCAAAAGATGTGCACCATTCTTCTTGCACGTGCCTATTGTTCCTTGTTGATTGTCGGGACATATTTTTCTCACCGTTCTACTCGGTATGGTGCGCGCGTGTATAGAGCTAGGCGTGCGTGTTTTGTGAGTTCTTGAATGTTACCACCCAGACTCGATCCTCGGCGAGGTGAGAATGGAATGTTTAGCACATGTGTGAGCGCGCGTGCGTGAGCGTGTGGTGGGTGGGTGCTTTTTTATGTGTGTGTGTGTGTGTGTGTGTGTGTGTGTGTGTGTGTGTGTGTGTGTGTGTGTGTGTGTGTGTGTGTGTGTTTGGTCCTTGGTTGTGTTTGTTTTGTTTCTTTGCTGGTTTGTATGTTTGTTTGTTTGTTTGATATACTTTTGAGAACAAAAGGGGTAGGGTAATAATGAGTGTAAAGGTTAATTGAATTTGCAAAATGTGACTATGTTTGTAGCATTCATTAAAGATTAACAGTATTCGAAGATATGGAAACAATAGTATCAAAGCTTTGATAGCGATTTCGTAATTGGAAAATAGAAAAGCAACAGATATGGACTGTATAGAAGTAGATAGATATACGGACAGACAGACAGACAGACAGACCTACAGACAAGCAGACAGACAGACAAACAAACAGACAGACTGACAGACAGACAGACAGACAGACAGACAGACAGACAGACAGACAGACGGACAGACAGACAGACCGACAGACAGACAGGCAGACAGACAGACACACAGACAGTATAAGCTACGAACAAACACTTCCGACCTTTCTCTACCGATGGTGTTTGATTATAAGATTGTACAAGATTTTTGCAGTTAAAATTACGCCAAGGAAACTTAGCAGAGCAACGTACATTGCTGACCCGTTGGACTACAAGCATAGGAGATCAAGCCAGTAAAGATGTGCACTTCTTCGTCTACATCCTCGGATGCACAGACGGTGGTGAGAACCTCTTCAACGCATTCATTGAAGCCTTCCAGTGTACTGAAACGAGTAGAACATTATTATTATAGTGCGGTAAAAAAAAAAAAAAGTTTGCGGCGCAACATATCCTCAAGGGTCTTTTTAACGATAGAACCAATGTCATCCATACTTTGCAAATCTCTTTGTTTCAAATTAATTGTCTAATCCCTAATACTATTTTTCAACAACAATTTAGAATTCATTGTTAAAGAACTTTTCTTCATAAATTTTTATAAAATACTACAAATAAAAAGCCAGGAAGAAGCTTAGCATCAGTGGGGAGCGAATGAGAAAACACTTAGACAGGTCTACATGGGCGCAATCAGGCCCCATCTCGAGTACGGATCCTGTGCAAGGATGACTGTAGCACAGACTCACAAATACACTCTGGAAAAAGTGAAAAACCAGTCTCTCCGAATAATCACTGGAGCAATGAGGTCAACGCCTATAGGAAAGACGGAACAAACAACATCTGTAGTGGCCCTGCAGAGGAGATGGGAGTGCCAGGCCCTCATACAGTACACCAAGGCCACAGCTATGGAGGATCATTTAATGCACACAAAAACAGCGCCAGATCAAACACAACAAGACTTTAAAAATCCAACTTCATCAAAGAAAGCGCAAAAATTGACAGATCCCCACAGGACCATTTACCAACCTCAGTGAACATGCTGAACCATACCCCAGAGGCACCATCATGGAAAAAGAAAAACACACGTCCATTTTTATGTGTACCACAAAAGATGACCACAGCGACCTGAGCAACAAATCTCTCTCCCTTTCCATGCTTGAAGAAAGAAGCCCCCGAGAAGCATGGATAAGGGTCTATACGGACGGATCTGTCACTGATGCTGCGAAATGGGGAGGAGCGGGAGTGTATGTACAGTTCCCAAATGGACGACGACAAGCAGAGGCAGTCCCAACAGGGCGACATTGTACAAACTACAGGGCAGAGACGGAGGCTCTAATACATGCTACAAACATCATCCAGAATGTGGTAGACCCCCAAAGCCAAGCAGTATTCCTAACTGACGTCATGTCAGTACTGCAGGCAATCACTTCCGGCAAACTACCAAGGCTACGAGAAGTAATTGAGGACATCCCATGTCTGAGGATCATCCTGCAGTGGATTCCATCACACTGTGGTGTCTTAGGAAATGAGCAGACAGACAGGATGACCAAACTAGGAGCACAGAAAGAGTAACCAGACAACAGAGTTAACTACAGGTACACAGAAATAAAACTATTATAAATACCCTATTTAAAGCAGCACAGACACTAGATAGCTACCATGAGCTGTCCCGCCAAGAGCAGGTGATTATCTTCCGACTAAGGACACAACACATAAGACTGAGATAACATATGTACATATTATGTTTTAAACTAACACAATCACCAAAATGCCAGTGTGGAGAGGCAGACCAAACAGTTGAACACGCCTTTCAGCACTGCAAGACACACTGGGCCCTGAGGCAGGAAACATGGCCAACCCCTAGAGGAGAAGCTATACGGGCCGACAGATGAACTGAGCAGGACGGCCCAATTTATGACAGATACCAGACTTCAAGTGTGATGCTATTGAGAAGAAGAAGAAGAAGACTATAAATAAATCTCCGTCATGCAGAAAATGGGATTGTTCACGACACTTCCTGATGCTCACACTGATTCTTATTACAAATTGGGAGCAACCCCCCAAAAAAATACGTTACCCCAAGACATTGCCTTTTCAAAATATTAATAAAATAAAAACTATTTTGACAAATCAGGTGTAGCTTTCTATTTCTGTAACAGCATTTTTTTTTTCTTTTCTGAATTTTTAAAATTATGGTAGCTTTCACGGTCTTTTCGAGGTTAACGATTCAATATACCAGTCCTGCCCACCCAGCGGCAATGGGTACCTGACGTCGAGTTGGGGAAGTAAAGGCGGCGTGGAAAGGAACTTGCCACCTTACCAATATGCCGAAGACCCAGGAAGTTGTCTCACCAACAAGGCCATCCCCAATGTCCGGATCGGATACGGGGAACAACTTTACTTTTACTTTATACCCCAAAACTGTCAGACTGCAATGGTTGTTGGGCCAAAAATAGCTCAGGCTCAAGTGAGTTAATGAAGAAAGTCACATTAATCACCGCCTGATTTCACCTCATTGCAACACAAATAGGAGGAAAAAGGGGCGTCGGGCGGGTGGCGTGGCTTGAACATTTCACATTATGTCAGTGCCGTTTTATGATGGCAATTATAAACAAGCATGGTTACAGAGGAAACCAGCGAAATCTCCTGTGTAATTACTTTCTTTCGAGTTCGAAGCAAAGCGTCAAGCATGTGAACGTTTTTACGTATGAGGTAGAGTGGGATTCAAAATACATGGCAGTAAAAAGCGTAAACAGGCGAATATTATGGAAAAAACATTTCTTGAGGGATCACAGTCCACACTGTATAGTGCGATGTGCCTCAACTTTATCGATGACTTTTTATGTTTGCAGCATGGTGTCATTTTGCACATTGTCAGTTTAGTGGAATATTGATTTCTTCTACAAAAAATAATAACAATAACAATAATAATAATAATGGTGATCATGATATAATAATAATAACAACAATAATAACAAAAATAATAATACTGATAACAACAATAATAATGATAATAATAATAACATTATTATTATTATTATTATTATTATTATTACTATTATTATTATTATAGTAGTAGTAATAATAATAGTGCTAATAATAAAGATAATAATTTATCAAAGAAATAACAAGCTATAGTCGGTTGCTACCCACCTCGTACCTTCCAAGTCCTCTCCCCCCCCCCCCCCAGCAAAAAACCATGCCTCCTGTAAGAAAGTATAATACTTCACCTGCACACTGAGCTAATCGACATGGTTTGGACAAAGGAGAGGAATTGTTGACGTGAGTGGAAGTGCGGCATCAGTTGGACCGACATCAGTCTTCCACATCCCTCTAAACGTATCCGGCACTCGGTTCGAGCCTCTGTCGTGACGGTGAAACCTGCAAGACGAGAGGGAAAAGGATGACCAGTCGTCCAACCTGTCAAGACTGCAACCTGTATAAGACTGCCAGTTTCCACCTCGTTTCTATCCCTCAAAGTAGACTATGGATCGTTCACTACAGAGTTTGATTGTCTTCACCATTCGAGCAAGTGTGAATTGATCTAGTCTGACAGATTGATTGTCATTTTCTTTTAAATTTTATTTGTCTTCATTTGACCAAAAAAAAAAAAAATAAGTTTCAAGACCTGCTGTTGCATAGTACTAAACGTGGCTTTAAAAAAAAGATACACAGCATTGCAAAGGTTTCTCCTTACTGAACCTATCTTCTGGTCACTTACATGAAACTGTAAAAGGCATAACTATAACAACACAGACCCAACAATCAGGCGCGGCTCGTCCATAGAGCACGGTCGTGCAGTGTCGCCCAAAATGTTTTAATGTTCTATTACTAAAAGCACATACAAACATGAAATAAAAGAAGTCAGAAACTAACACTAGCCAAATATAATATCAAAACAAGGTCCTCATTGGCGCTGTAACTGTCATTTCTGTATCAAAAGCGCCGTAAAACATCTACTATGCCATGCCAAAGGCAACGCGTTTTAACTAAACGAAATAGAATTATCAACAGTGGCAATCTGACCTTTAAATCACCCTTTGGGATAACCCAAGCGATGACGACATTCGTAGCGAGTTTGGCCGTACATTAATATTAACAAGACGGCACATCTCAAATGTGCACCAACGAAACAAAGCCCACAGTAGGCAGTCTAAAAATAAACGCAATAGCCTGTACACTATTCAATACCAACATTTTGTCATCCCCGGAGCAATCCAGTGGAGTGCTCAAGGGAAATGTGATTGTTTCATTGTCTTGCCACTATTTTAAGCGACTCTGTGACCGTTAACCTGAGGTAGGTGAACGTGACATACTTAAGTCACCGCCCTAGGAGTTGTACCTTTGAATGGTTTTGTAGTGCAGTGGTGAAAGTTATTACATGTACTCGAGTGTTCAGTTCCAATGCAGGATAAAGAAATTAATGTTTAGCTAACAAACAGACTTAGATCTAGAAATCAAAGCGACCAGTAAAAAGAATGAAAATAAAAGCATAAGGTCCTCCTTCACCAACCCAAAGATCCTACCATCCCATTTACTATGCCCTTGACTGTCTTTAACCTGCTGTTGCTTAATTAATTAATTGTGCACGCCCACTTTTTAGCCCTGCGAGCCGCCCTTGCAAACAACACAGTACTTGAGCGGAAAGTTACCAACTTCAAACGAGTATAGACTGAAAAGTGTCCACGCTAATAGGTTTTATTTGGTAAGAATGTGATCTCTTTAACAATTGCATCTCGCCTCATCTTTCTACAACATTCAGGAAAGATTGAAAACAATAAACATCCCATATCTTTAACTTTCGGAGAACATAAATTTTAAGTTCCCATTTATTCGAATTTGTCACGAATATGTTTGCCCTTAAGAAAACTCGGTGCTAAAATTGTCTCATACTCTTCCTACCTGCCATGAAGACGGCAACGATTATAGCCTGGGATAGTCTCATCTCGTAGCCGTAGATCTAACAACAAGGTCTGTAGTCCTGAAAAAATATAATAAATGGACATTCATTTGAAAGGAACAACTTCAGTGCTTGACAAAGGTTTCCTCCGCTTTCTAAATCATGGCTTGAAAAATGACAGCGCGCAATGTATTATTAATAATTTTTACATTTATTTACGTATCTGTTTCCTTAATGGGAACGAAAACAAAGAGACACGTATATGAAAATCAAAATTCCGAGATAAAAATAGCTTAGGCTTAGAGTGGGTCTCCTTACTGTAAACAAAAGAATGAACTAGGGAGAGTAGCTTTTTCCTTGCACGCAATGAAAACAGCAACAACAACAATAAATTGTACGCCTACAGTGAATAAATTTCAAGTCTGGGTGAAAGAACAGCCCTTATCTGTTTGTTTTTTTATACGCTGTCCAACTTCCTGTCTGGCATTTCACTTTATTATTTGGCTCATCCTGAGGCCATTATAGTACGGAATGCCAGAAGAGGAAATTACATTTAAACGGGCATTGCCAACAACAAGTGTGTGTGTGTGTTGAGGGGAGGGGGGAGGGGGAGGGGTCACTATTGCTACGGTCATCAGGGTAATTGGGTAAGTGTGCTCCGCTTATGGAGTACAATTTCAGGAAGTGGGGTCTTTTTACATACAGTAGTAGTAGTAGTAGTAGTAGTAGTAGTAGTAGTAGTAGTAGTAGTAGTAGCAGTAGGAGTAGGAAAAGTAGGAGTGGTGGTGTAGACTTCCTTTTATGGTTTATTTTTTAAATTAGTGCTATGTATTATTTAGTTGGCAACTCGGAAACACATGTGTCACTTTTCCCCTAAAACTGCGACAGCTACAGAGTTGAAAGTTGGCAAGTACCAGCAAAATGATAGATAGGTCCCCATGACGGAACTCGATTTTTTTATTTATTCATTTCCTGAATTTTGACAAATATATTTGACAAAAAGATCCCGTTCTTCTTTGGCCTTTGTGATTATTCTACTGAAAAACGAAACAAATCTGCTTAGCTCTCCTTCACGACGGTAGTTCATTACCGCTCTTTAACGTTCGCCTACGAAACATGATTCAAGAGACGGGGTGAGAACTTTTCGAGACTCACCTGTAGTACGTGGAGACGTGTTCCTGTTATGCATCCAAAGAGTTATTTTTAATGGGCCCAGAGAGAAAAACGTTTTTATTACTGGGACAAGAATTTTTATTTTTTTTAATATTTTCGTTTGGTCGCTAGCCTGTAGACGTGCCATGCAAAGTTTTGTAGGCATAAGTAAATTTTGTCAATGAGCTAAAATAATTTTTCTCGGTGTCAGGGGAAAGTGAACAAGCTATAGACACTGCCTCTGCGATTTTGAAGACGCCAGTGTGTTCCTTTTACAGTGTAGATCTAGCAGCCCTTTCGTGGATTATTATTTTCTTAGTGCTTTTTTGTGATTGTGAAGGGCTAGACAGCAATACACTAAAGCAATGTAGATCAAGAAAGGAGTTAATCAAGGCAGACCAAAGTAATATAGATCTAGAAGCCAGGTGTAACTGTGAAAGGTTAGACAGCACTGTATATTATGTAAATTGCCTCTGCGGCATAGACCAGTAGGAGCAGTGGCACCAAGGCGTCGATCCCGAGCAAAGCCGGGTACTCAGCTAGTTATTGTAATAACTGATATAAAATTGGTTATATTATGCTTTATCTTTGACAGTGTTATTTCTATATTATTAGATTGACGATTGTAACCTTTTAGGCATTGTTGCTGCTGTTGATGTTGTTTTTGTTGTTGTTGCTTTTGTTGTTATGGTTGTTACTGTTGTTGTTGTTGTTGTTGTTGCTGTTGTTTTTGTTGCTGTTTTTGTTGTTGATGTTGATTTTGTCTAAAATATTCTTTTTTACCTTTTTTGGATTACTCGCTGTTTCACTTGCTGTAGTTTTTGTTATTGTTAATGTTAACTTCACATCCAAGTAGGAACTTAAAAATTATGTAATTTGTGGTGCAAGCAACAAAAGTTATATACTTCACGGTGAGGAAAATAATTTTATACTTTTAGCGAACATGAAAATGAGACGTGTCGTCTAGAAATCTTTGTTTAAAAAACAATCTCTTTGGCAGATGCTTATGCCCTCTTTGAGCTGAGGGTCTGGAAACAATTTGTAAAACGTTATTCAATGTAGTTTTCTTTAGATTGTAGACATCAGTTGTTTTCAGTTTTGTTACATACTAAATGCCCTATTACGTTCCTCGCTTTGGTCGGTGTTCAGATACGCATTTATATCATGACGCAGTGAAATGTCAGGGCATGTAGACTTATTGGTATAATCTTAAAGGATCAGTATAATTTTAAAGCTTATTCATTTGTCTTGCGTCATCGAGTGTAAACGTAGTTTTCTTCCGCGCCAAACAACAGCCCATTTTATACTTTTGATAGAGATATCGATAGCTCACTTTGACCCTCTGCAAGTAGACAAAAACACTTTGTTCTATGAGGGTTAAGTGTCGTAGAGTGGATTATTTATGGTCTGTAATTAGAGCAAAAGATTTACTGAAGACATCGAGGGACTTTTTTTTCGAGGTATATCTGGTTTTGACAAATCGCTAGGCTAACACTTTCATCCCCCAATTCTTTTTGTTTTAATCATCATACTTTATTTTGGGCAAGCTTCTTGTGTTGGTAGATCAGCTCCCTCCCACTCACAGCTGTACTTTCTGCTATTTATAGCAACATCTTTTAAAAAAGCTGCTTTTCTCAAAAGTGCTAAAACGGATGTAGCGGGTTTTGCACCCAAGCTCCTCGTTTATTTAACTTCCGGTTAAAAGTAATAGCTCGCTCAAAACAGATTCGAGTACCTAGCAAAAAGTTAAGCAAAATATGATAATGTCAATGTTGACGTCATCCAAAATAATTCTACAGCGTTTCGCAAAACAAGCGCAATTTCCGTGCCCAAAATTACAAATTATGTTGCAAGCGCAGTTGTGATTTCCCCATACTTTGAATGACAGAACCATTGCGAAAGACAGCACTATACTGACTGCATAAATAATTTCTCAGGTTTTATAGCTGTGCTTCATTTTATTCACACAGAAAGGCTGAAATACCACACTAAACACGACTAGGTCATTTCAGAGGTGAAGCCAATTGGGAGGAGCAGATTCAGAGAGGCTGATCAAATGGAGATTATTATTGTGCAACATGGGTGTAAAAATGTCAATGAATATCGTTCCATAGTTACTGAAATTCAAAGTAAAAACCTTGGAGCAACCTGCACTTTTGCACCCCTTCTCTCTCTCTCTCTCTCTCTCTCTCT